TTCCATGAAAGAAAAAGATAAACCTAACCAATTTTACTCAGTCTCTGGACAAGATTCAACGCTTGTCTGGTCTTCTCGTGTTGGTGTAAATTATGATATTATTTTCTTCTGATTGCAGAGACTAACCAGCCAACGGCTGAAAGTCTCTATAATAAAGAAATCAATCAAATAATTTCTTCTGATTGAAGATTGGATTACTCGATCATTACTGAAATCGTATCTAGTCGAAAAAAGTCGTGGAGGCGAACCAGCCTCAGGCTGAAAGCCTCCTAAATAATAATAAATCAATCAATCAATCGAAAAAAGTCCCTGCTTTCAAACGATGTGTTTCTTATAAAAATTAGTGATGATAAGCACATTTTATGATAAACATCTAATACGACCGTCTCACACTTTGGTTTTATCAAATGAAAAGCTTTACTTTCCTCTTTCCAGTGATATGCAGATATTAGAGATTTTCTTGTGGGTTTCCGAAGAAACAGTGATTTAATTGAAAACCATATTAAGGCTGATATGTCATTTATCAAACCACTTTTTTATTTCCTTCAATTTACATGCAAAGACTGGATTTCTCTCTCCGTAATTAAAACTGTATCTTATAGGAAAGCTTTCTAATGGTAAGTTTCTTTTCAAAACCGCAGGGAGGAAAGCTCATGAAAAACGAATTTTTAAGAAAAAAATCCAATATGGCGGCCAATTTTTTTAAACACGCTAAATGAAAGCCCTAAATTTCCCCTTTTTCAATGATATATAAACATTAAGTGGTATTTTGAGAATTTTTAAAGATATGGTGATTTTAATGAATCAAGAAAACGCAATCTCGAAAACTGATTGAGCTCCTAGTTACCGAGGGGTCCATCAATTTGACCTTAACTGATCGTTTTTTCTCGTTTCATAACTAGAACATTTGTACAGTAGGTGCACTATTCAAATTGGTAATAGGATCATTGAATATGTACAAACCCGAGTAGACGAAAATATCCAATCATTAGCAGGTTTTTCTATTAAAATTTGGGAACAGAACATCAAAAATTAGCTATTAGTTTGAATGATGTAACAGGTAAATCATCAAAAATAATATCTAAAAATCTATGTATGTATGAAATATATGTAAAGGAAACCACTCATTGTTGCAGGCACAACCATTAGACAGTGGACCGTCCTCCTCTTACGACTTGATCGAGTACAACATCTGGTTGTATTCAATTTACCATTGTATGAAGGGCCAAAAACGGAGGGCGAACCCGTAAGCAGAGACACTTACACTTAGTCCGCGGAGTTAAGGAGAACTGTACGAACTGTATCCCGGATGGGTAAACTATTTCACAGATGGTTTGGACGATACCCCCAACACGTCGTTAAGCTCTCTTTTATGGTTATTTTTATTAAGGGAATCTTGGTTTGCGACAACACTTTTATTTACCCCTATCCCACTTTATTAAATCACTGTTCTCTCATCACGTTTCACTTCTTATTTTCGGTTTCCAATGCTTATACTTTTTCCCTTTGTTATTCTCATCTGATGACTCTCCTTCTGAAATTTCACTTTCTTCATTCTTATATATCTAGATAAACATTTTAAAAGGTCCTATCTGCATTGACCGATTCTCTTCATCGACTTTCTCTTTCGTCAATAACTCAGTTGCAAAACCTTTCCCTGTTGTATTTGACGTTTTGGAAGCTAGATAAGAACATCCTTTATCAAACTATGTGGTAGAATTAGCGCGAAATCTGTTTGCATAGCAGTGGTTATGAAAAGAGAAAGTCGATGAAGAGAATCGATCAAAGCAGATTGGACCATTTGAAATGTTCATCGAGATATTTCCTTTAATTTCTTTTTCATATATTTCCTGTCTGAAAGCATCTCAAAATTCGCTCTGTCCATGTTATTAAATTTTTGGAAGTCTTGTTCTAATGCTAGCTTCAAAGGGAGCTTATTTTCACATATCCAAATTAGCTTATACGTCCTACTCTAATTCTCCTATTTGTTGTTTTGCCTACCAATAGCCTCCTTGCATTAAACTTAATATCGCTTGTTTTAACTGGTATATACTCCTCAAAATAAGTTTTTCGTAGTTAGCTATCGCTATCCTACATTTTTTGTCAACACTGCTACCTTAGTGCTGTATTGCAATGATGTTTGACATTATCGAACGCTTTACTGATATCTAAAGCTAATATGTATAGATCCTGTCCTGGGTTCCAATACTCCTCCATCGTACGTCTAGCTACAAATATATGATCATATGTAGATCTCTTTGTAGTGAAGGCCGCCTGAGGCAACCCTGGCTCACCTTTAAATTTCCTTATCTACTTAGTTATCCACTTAGCATAAATTTTATAAGCTGCACTGCACATGGATATTCTTCTGAATTGGTCTGCTTCTGATGCCTCTACTTTCTTTGGAATTGGTATTTGAATTGTTTTCTTCCATTCGTTAGGCATTTCATTTCTAATGTACACTTCCTGCATTATTTCTGCTAATCTCTCAATTGAATATTCATCAGCTTATTTAATATACTCCGCAAATATACGATCTGAGCCTGGTGACTTACCATTACATGTTGAATAAGGAATGTTTCTTCTATTTATTGTTGGTGCAAAGTTCGAAAAATTAGTGTAAATTTCTGTTCAATATGATGCACATAAATGGAACGTCATATACATCACATATCATATACGTTTACATTATATATCATGTAAAGTTCTGACACATTTCATGCAATGTAGTAAATATTGCATACAAAAGCCCATCTTTGTAAACAACATTGTTTGCAAGTTGTTCGGTTGCGTGAAATGAAATACAAGTTTACGTGAATGAATGTTTACATCACAATTAAAATTCAGAATTTTTATCTGTGTCGGTATGTCAATGGGGTAAAATCATGTTTTGAACAAAATTCTATTTGTGGGCTCTCACAAGTTTTCAAAATATCATCCCAGACTCTATTACTAATAATCGATGATTTCATCTTCAAAAAGGATATCTAAAAATCTATGGGACCATAACTGAATAGTTGAAAAGTTTGTTGTTGTCATATCTAAAGAATAGCAAAAATCATAACAAATTAATATCACCGACAAACCGACATGAAACTTAAACTTAACTCTTGATCGAGAATCCATAACGGCCGATTCAAATGTGCAGCGATCCCGTCTGTCAAAACCATAGAAATGTTTTATCTAGATAAAAATAATTTGTCCGAAATAGATTAGACACGAGCCAACTCATTTGTCCGCGTGTTTGCGACTAGGATAAATATTTTCCGCAAACACGGCGGCAGATGTCAGTTTTGTGCTTTGATCAGAAATTTCTTTGTAATTTGTTTGATCATTCATGTCGGTTTGTCGGTGGTGTGCCTATGTTCCTAGCGTTGAAGGTACATTTTTTGCTGAATTTTAGGTACATGTACAGTAAAACGTCATAGGTACATACATATTCCAGCATTGACAATTTTTGGTAGAATTAGGTAGATTGCTTGAGGAGAAAATTTTTGTATAAATGTTGAGGCTCGGTTTGCAATAAGCACCACACGCCTCGAGTATCTTTGAGTAACTACACGGTAAAATGCAAATAGACGTACCTCTTTGAATAAAATTATCTTCAAAACATACAAATAGCAAGTAGTTCACGGAAACGATAACATTCAAACCAATCGTTAAATGCGCAAACGATGATCCCAGAATGAAGAGTTGCGTCTGTTTGTCTGTGGTCCTACTTTACCGTTCGGATACAATTTGTTGTCATAGACCAGCTCATTGGGTTCTGTGGCAACAAATTTAATAGAAATTAAGATTTTTTGGTATCTTTAGGCTTGGCTGCGATTATTAGTTGTAATGAACAAAACTCTTTAAATTAATATGATTATGACTATAATAAAATCAGTGATAAACATTACAAACACACTGCTATTATTTATTAAGACCTTAGAAATCGGAAACTTTCAACTATATGCAGAGTGTTTAGGTCCATCTCTATGAATAAATTAACAATTTCGTCATTCACTTCCTTAAAACAATCATCTGCATCTGACCAGAGATGTAGTGAGGGTTCACTGAGCACATAGTCTTTGGATATGACACCATTTTATAATTGAAAAAAATAATCAAATGTCAGGTTTTGACAACGCTAGTGATTGTTATCCAGAAATTTTCTTCACAACCCTCGTGGAATCCTCCTCATAAGCTCTGAGTAACAACTACCTTATTACAACTGCTACTATTCCTTAGCAACCTCCGCAGCCTTTATCATCAGTTCACTTCACTGTTTCCTTGGAATTTGTATCGCAGATTGTCAGATTTTTTTTAGAATTGTGGTCAGAAAGACCTTATGAATACATGACAGAATTGAGTTCTCTACAGAATTTCCTTGGAATCACGCTCATTGTCGTAGAAAAGATACTAGACAGAAACTTATGCAATGCACTCCCTTGACAGGGGCTATTTTCACCACCCCCTCACTACGTCCCAGCAGCTGACAATACCGAATCACTCCAGTCACCTCCAATCCATGTCAAATGAGCAATTTGGTAAATAAAGTAGGTAATTTTTTTCTCCAAACTCAAGCACCGACAACACTTGAGCAACCAATTAAAATTATCCATCGTCATCGTGTGCCATACAATAACAAAAACGCATCTCGACTCTATATGTGATCCATCGGCATCGTACAGGGGAGGCATGAAGAAATACAAGCCGTTCGCGACGAAGACGACGTCATTAGAGGATCGGTCAAGCGCAAACAACGGCTTTTTTCGCCCCTACAATCCCGCACAACTTTGACGTCAAATTCATTTACAACAACGGCAAACGGACGCAAGTCAAGAGTTCACCTTCCGTACCGCACGCGCACACCGTGTAACCCATTGGAAAAATTGGATCTAATTAACATGTAAGGTACAGAGCGCATCGATTTCGATTCTCATGTCCTCCTTGCTTATTGGAATGGATAATCTGAACCTCAAGTTAACGCGGTTAATCGTGAGAAAGGGTGTACTTACGGAAGCGCCAAACACTACGAACACATGCGGGCAGTTGCAGTCGAAGTGCGTTCCCTCGCAATCCATGGCACTCGATTTCAGATTACGTCTGATGATCGCCAACGCTTCCTCTCCCTCCAGGGTACCCAAGGTATTGTCCGAGCTATCCGATTCGCTGGTGCGGTAGCCGCTGTTGGAAACTGAAATGGGTCGTGAGTTTGACGATTGATAAGATTATTTGATATGTTTTTCCAGTGTGGTTACTAGTTCTAGTAGATAGTTCTGAACTGCGCTAGTGATTTTTCAACGACGAAGACACGACAGCGGAAGGAAGGACCGAATCGATCAAGTTCTGAATCAAAACTGCAAGGTCTAGCAAGTCATCGACGCACGGGTACGCTCTCAGGCATGCCTACTTCTAGGTTACACACATATACTCAGCTGCTGGAGCCGCGCGGCCTTTCGGTGCTTTGTGCTTCGCGATGCATCGTACGAGTTGGGGTGCCGAATTACAACACAGGGTAGAGCATCGCATCGTATCGGATGTTACGGCGTCGATAAACAAAACACTATCGCAGCCGCGACGTTCTATACAAATGTGAGTATCAGGAACTTTCAGTTCGTGGATTTCTAGTAGACACACGACACGCTTGATCAGTGGTTTATAGCTTTGCAGAAGCTCTCGCGGTAGGGATTTTGCAGCATTAGCTCAAACGTGCTCGACCGGTGCACGAGAAAGTGACTCTTATCTGCTTAATCTGATCCGGCGCGTGACCTGCCAGTTCATTCGTTTGTAGCCCTTCCAGTTCATTAGGCACTTGTGACGTACTTATAAGTTAATTGATTTCAAATTTCCTATGGCATTTTATATAAAATACGGGACACACACACACGCAGTCACGAAGCTACGCGATAAGGCTTTCCTCGGCCATTACAACGCAACTTTTGGGCAAACAATTTTTATCTCCGTTCTCAACGAAAACAATGCACTTTTTTCACAGCTCTTATCACGCAGTCGAACGGCTCATTATTGTCACATGTGAAATATTCAGCTAAACATCATCACCCACACACATACGCAAAATTACCATAGTAAATCAGCCCGGAACCGACTCCTTTCAGCAGTTCAATCATGGTAGCTGATGCGGACATTGTCACGAGCAGATTCGGATAAAAATACAATCGTAGCAAGTTGCAGACGAGATCGCGAAGAAAATGCGACCAGTTATGATCACAGCATGTAATAAACTGATACACTATGGGTGAGGATTTTCGGGGCCCTCCCGCGCCACCACCCGACCAGGTTATGTGTTCCGAGCGGCACGGTGAAGATAATATAATGTAGTTTGGTCGTAGTTAGCTCGACAGTGGCAACGGTATTCGTCACATGGCACGCGCGCACTCGCACCTACCTAAAAAAAAACGCCACGAGTCGAACAATCAACGAGCTTTTAGTGGAAATGTGGACCATCCATGCAGTAAGATATATAGTGGTGAATTAATAAAAGTTTTGTTAGGGGTTGGATTCAATTAAACTTAATTGTTGTGAGAAAGTGAGATTTGTGCAGGCCAAATTGGATTGTTAAGATTTGCTTGCAGTTTATTGCACTTTTACTTATGCGGATCTGCAACTCGATAAGTTGAAGGCACCATCGACTTGGAGATATATCGGGCACAATATCTATGGCAAATCATCAGCTCAGGGAATCTTATTTTTCTTTATTGCCCATAAACGAAGAAATGGCTAATGCGCATGAGAGCGAGAAAATGCAACGTTAACGTAATTGTTGGCACATTGAAAGAAACATCTTAAGAACTTTCACGAACAGTCAAGTATCTGGGAGTCATTCTTGACAGTAAACTTAACTGGAATTTACATATAGAGCAGGTTGTTAATAAGGCAATAAATGCTCTTTGGATAAGTAAAAAAACATTTGGTAGGAAATGGGGCCTAAAACCAAAAATGATCCACTAGATTTATTTGACGATTGTAAGACCCAGAATATCCTACGCATCATTAGTTTGGTGGCCAAAAACTAATGAAAAATCGGCTCAGAAGAAGCTGGGGAGACTGCAAAGACTAGCTACTCTCTCAATAACTGGTGCAATGAACAGCACACCGAGTATTTTACTAGATGCTCTACTTTATCTGATTCCGTTGCATCAATTTATCCAAAGAAGCTGAAAGGAGCGCTTTAAGGATTCAACGAACAAAGTACTTCCTTGAGGGTGATCTTACAGGACACCTTAGCATTTAAAAAATGTTTGATATTGATTCTCTTGTATTCAAAAATGAAGACTGGATCGACCGATCGTTTATACAATGCAGCAGAATTTGATCGTAATGTTTGGGAAAGTGGGGGACCAAACATCCGTCCAGGTTCAACTGTTTTTTATACAGACGGTTCAAGATTGAACAACCGTGTGGGAGCAGGGGTAACTGGTCCAGGGATTGATATCTCAATATCCATTGGTTACTGGCCAACCGTGTTCCAAGCAGAAATTCCAGCAATTCTTGAATGCTCTGTAATATGCTTGCGCAGGAATTATAAACATTCGAATATCTGCATTATGTCTGATAGTCAAGCAGCATTAAATGCTTTAAAATCAGCAACATGCAATTCCAAACTCGTATGGGAATGTGCAATGTCACTTCAGAAATTGGCCTGTCAAAACCAAGTAAACTTATATTGGGTTCCTGGCCACTGTGGAATTGAAGGGAATGAAAAAGCCGATACGTTAGCCAGGCTAGGATCATCTCAGCAATTCATAGGACCAGAACCATTCTGTGGAGTTTCTACTGGTTCTCTTAAAATGGAGATCAAGAAATGGAAAAAATGAAAGTGGAGACCAATTGGAACAACACTTCCATTGCTAGGCAGTCGAAACGGTTCATAATTCCGAACATTTCAATAACTAGCAAAATTATTGAATTATCAAAGAAAGATCTCAGTGTCTATACTGGTTTGATAACAGGACATTGTCCATGTAAATATCATTTGAAGCTAATAGGAAAACTTCAAGAGGATATGTGTCGATTCTGTGGTATAGAAAAGGAAGACTCTGAACACCTGCTATGCTCTTGTGCAGCAATCTTCAATAAAAGGCGTATTTTTCTGGATAAGGGGCTGGCAGAACCCTTTGATATTGGGAATGCAGGTCCCAGTAAAGTAGTACATTTCATTCGAAATGTAATACCTGGCTGGGAAAATGCTTTTGGTCAGTCTATGTAGGTCGCTTCACAAAATAGTGATACGACATAACTGATAAAGCAATGTAAAAACGGGGAATATCACAATAGATCAAAGTAATGGTCGCAGTGATGAATACACCAAACAAGGAAAAAAAATTGTTGGCACAGTAAGTTTTACTAGATGATGTTTTTAAAATGAACCTCGTCAATGGCGAAATCATACCGATGAATAGAAAGGCGTACGCAACAAATGGCTAAATAGGGGAAATGGCTCTAATGTTGGCCTATGGATCTAAGACTGGGCCCATCGCTAAAAATCTGCTATTTTTAAATTCTATCAAGATGAACGCGTTATTGGGACGGTACTAATGCATATTTTTGGTCGCTATTGAAAATTTAGTCGATTGCTGATTCTATGTATGGGCCTAAATTAGGGGCATTTTGGCCGACATTACATCCATTTCCCCTAGTTTTCAAATTTATATATGCACAACATTGATCGCAGCCCTGGCGCAGTGGTTAACAAGGGACTATTGATAAATTTACGTGGCGGTCGACCAACAGATGGAAATTATGTGAAACATGATAATGGCGTTTTGCTACCTGTCAAATGGTATGGAATATTTTTTAGTACATCATCAGTTTTGTAATTGCATATCTGAAATCTAGGTGTCACATGGCCAGTTTTACCTTTGCTTAAATTCATCAATTATAGTCGCTATATTCAAATATAGCGACTATAGGGACTATTACTGAGCCACATTTTGAAACCTTCTTGTTGATGGAATATCGAAGCAACCTTTACCTTTAAATCAGAATATACTTCTATAGTAAAATGTCAAATCCCATCCCATCGTACAAATAAGGTTCCCGTTTCACCTGTGCATACAATGCCTTTGTTTTTTTTGCATGCACGTAACCTATAGCTCATACCGTAGTATGCTGTGTATAAAAGAAAATGATTTACTTAGTTTGACAGTTGCACCATGACGAAGTGGCAGCGTATTCGTGATTTGTCCCACGCGCAAATGTCGCAAAAAGACATTTCAATCACCGTGGGAGTGTCCCGGTGGACCGTCAAAAGGGTTTTAGACCGAGAAAAGAAAGGACAAATATCCGCGAAGGTGGCCACAGGTCGCCTGAGGTCAGCTCGGGTTCCGAGGGTTATCGCTGCTATCAAAAGGAAGATTCGGATGAATCCAGTGCGTTCAATAAGGAAAATGGCAAAGGAACACGGGATCAGTTACTTTACGGCACGGAAGATCGTAAAGGAAGATTGCGAGGCGAAGTCGAGGGCACGGAAAAAACTCACATGACCGCATCCGGGAGCTACGATTCGAACGATGCAAGAAAATCTTGAACTTTCTTAAGCGAAAAAATCCGGTAATCCTGTTCACCGACGAGAGCATGTTTACCGTCGATCCCACATCAAATTCCAGAACCGACCGGTATATTAGTTCTCCTCCGGTAAAAGACGTGGCCGACGAGCACAAGAACGTGTATCTGACCAAGCATCCTGCTAGCGTTATGGTGTTTGGATTGGTAACTTCCGATGTCAAAAAAATGGACCCGGTGTTCATTCCAGAAGGTGACAAGGTCAACACGGAGGTCTACATCGGGATTTTAAGTAAATATGTTCTTCCGTGGATCAAAGAACAGTACGGTACGGTACTCAAATGTTGTATTTCAACAAGATGGGGCTCGGTGCCACACCTCGAGCCGCACTCAGAAGTCGTTGCAGGAACATTATCCGTTCTGGGCGAAGGATATGTGGTTTCCATGTTGCCCCGATCTTTATCCGCTGGATTACTCAATATGGCGCGTCATGAAGGCCAAGATCTGTTCTAAACGCCACCCGAGTACAGCAAGCCTCAGACAAACATTGACCCGTACCTGGGGGGGGAATGGATCCAGACTACATTATTAGAACCTGCCGTACATTCCGGAAGCGTGTGGAGGTCGTAATTGCAGCAAGTGGAAACTCCACAGATAAAAATTCTGAATTTT